TGAAATATCGCGATATTTCAGTGTATTGATATTTTCTTACACCCCTAGTGGTCACACTGTATTTTATCAGAAAATGTTTTTCTAGTTTTAGTTTCTTCTCTTCATGAAAGGCAGACAGTCATCAGTGTGAATGTCTATATGACATTCACACTATTGTTTTCATGTTTCTCTTTATTCTATATTATTGTGTTCACACAATAATAAAGAATAAAGAGAAACATGAATGTCTATATGACGTTCATGTTTCTCTTTATTCTTCCTGTTTAGTTTCTTCCATACGTTTTTTTGTCCTCTTTCTCCTTCCACAATTCTTGTGCAATTTCATCAATTTATACATCAAAATGTTCAGCTCCTTCAGGAGAATCCTGCTCTGTCTCTTGGTATTGATACATTTTGAACTTTTTGAGATTTTCAGCCTTTCTGCAATTTTTGCTCTCATTAAAATAACGGGAATTCACTGAAATGTTTCAACRTTTCACTACTTTTTGAACTTCATGTACTTCAGCATACCTGCGCCTAGAAACACCATTCAAGCTTTAAACAAAACTTTAGACGTTCAACTATTAAAGGATGATTTCAGCTTTTTGTCCTGTTTGTTTATAGATCTGCTTCTTTCTTGCTAATATTCTGCTTTTTCTTCCTGATGCATCTCAGTAATCCAGGTAGAAAAAAWRAAAAAAKAAGTAGTTCCTCTGGATTTTGCTTTTTCTACTTTTTTACTGCTCTTGTCAGCTTTTTTGTTGGTTTGTTACTATTTACTATTTCTGCCCTTTTAATCCGTGTTTGTGCAAAATTGCTTTCTTCAGCTTCTTTTTTTAAGCTATGTTAAGCAATTTTGTGCCTTTTCAGCCAACTTCCTGCTCCTTTTTGCTTTTCTTCTGCTAATTTCTGCTATTTGTGCTTCTTTCTGCTAATTTAATCTATTTATGCTTTTTACAGATGCTTTCTGCTATATTCAGCTATGTGCTGTATTTCCAGCTAATGTTTAGCTGGTATTAGCTAAAGTTAGCTTTTTAAAGCAAAACACATTATTTTCGTAGCTATTGCTTCTTTTTTCTGCTAAATTCAGCAAACCTGTTGTTCTTATGMATCCTTATGCTAATTAAAACATTTCCACCTACTGTTTAGCTGTTCTACTGAAAACTTCGGCTGTTTTATCTGTCTTACTTCAAATGATCACTTTTTAGTAGTTTTAAGGGGTTTTTTTCTACTAGTTTTGAATTTTTTACAACCATTTCACCATCTGGGTGCTACTTTCAGCTTGAAGCTTTAGCTTTTTCTTATGCTAATTTTAGCTTTTTGCTGCTATATTAGCTAAAGTTCTGCTTCTTTGTGCTTTTTCTCTGCTATTTAATATTTTTTTTGTAATTCTTTCTTCTACTTTGTGCCGTTTATGCTTCCTGCTGTTGCTTTCAGCTCAAGTTTTCAGCAACAGGCATTCACACCAGCATTTTCACAGGAAATACAGTTTCTCTAGTTTCCTGTAATTTTCTCTCTGTTAGCGAAATATCTCATGAACCACTGGGCGGGTCATGTTTCAGGCCTGAACCATTAGATGTTTTAAAAAACAAGTTAAAATCATAAAAATGGTATTTGTGTTGATCAGGTTTGATCATCGATGCGTTCGGTGAGCTCAGAGACCAGCAGGAGCAGGTCAGGGAGGACATGGAGGTAAGAGCTCCACTCGGCCTGAAACGAGCCTTTATTCTACTTTGAGTTGTTTAATCTGAAATGTTGCTTTTCCTTCCAGACAAAGTGCTTCATCTGTGGGATAGGAAGTGACTACTTTGACACGACGCCGCACGGATTTGAGACGCACACCTTGGAGGAGCACAATTTAGCAAACTACATGTGAGTTAATTATGTCTTAATTATATTAACAACCTCACAATTCAGTTCAGTTTCAATTATTTGGGTCACAATTTGAGTCATTATTGATTTAAATACTTTGATATCGATTTCACAAGTACAGAAATAATTAATTAGGGTTTCTGTGGATCTTTTTTTTTGCTCTTATAAACAGAAATGGTATAAATTAACATTTTTGAAGAACAAAATATCTGAGAATAACATTAAGACTTATTATCAAAATATAAAACCTGAAAAAAGTCAGGGCTTAAAGTATAAATAAATAAATAAATAAATAAATAAATAAATAAATAAATAAATAAATAAAAAACCTGGCCCTGAAACGTGATGTGGTAGAAATGAAACCTTATTGTTGCTCCTGCAGATTAACTGTAAATATCTGAAAATACCAGTCTCACAGAGAAAACTTTATTTTGGGGGAAACGTAGATATAAAATGTAAACATAGACACATCTTGGCTGTAGTTAAGGTCGTACAAATTTACATCTTTTGTGTTAATAGTTTTGTTGAAGAACTAAAGCAACTGAGACAAACAGTYTGTGYYCGCGGCGGCTAAACWTTAGCTTACCTTTGCACACGTCGACCAGTTCCACTTCTTTTTTTAGTTTGTTATTCCAGACTAGCCTGGCCCTTCTTCCTACTCAGTTCTGCTCAATTCTAGTTTCTCTTCTCTGCTCCATCTGGGACTTCTCCCRTAGACGAGGATTTCTTCAGGAGAGTTTCGTGTGGGCCAATCAGCAAACAGAAGGAGGAGTTTTAAATGATGTTGATTTTCTGCACAGTGTCTGTTAGTTATTTTAGCATACAGCAGTGGAGGAAGTGAATGAAGCCAGTCTGTGTTGATAAGACTTCAAATTAAAATAAATAAGCAGCAGCTCTCATTTACAGTCGTCTCGTTCTGCTCGGTACTTCTCTCCTCTCAGTAGGGTTGTTTACAGCACACGACATTTCCTGTTAGCTTCTTAGCTTAGCCTCTTTCACAACTGATCCAATCATTTTAAACTTCAGCAGAGGCCACGCCTCCAGGAAGAATCACTTCTCTATAGCTGAGAGTCCAGACCCTCGTATGGAGCAAAGTGAAGGACAGGGTCTGGTTTTTACCAGGTTAACTCCAAACACCATAAAGTCCCCCCCCCTTCCTGACACTCGTTGAGCTACGAGTCCAGTTAGTGGTTCTGGATTGTTCCCGGGCTGGACTGCAAACCAGCAGGGGATCAGATCGATCCAGAGGACTTTCTGAATGAACAGAACCAGCTTTGTTGATCCGGGGTCGGAGCACCAAGCCCCACCCCCTCAGTCATCATAAACCCAGCATCAGTTAAACTCTTAAAACCAACTGATTGTTTTGAATCTTTCAGGTTCTTCCTGATGTATCTCATCAACAAAGATGAAACGGAGCACACAGGACAGGTCAGTCACTCAACAGGCCTGTTTTCATTGTTTTTTTCAGTTTACCCCTCTCTGTATTTTCACCTCCTTCTCCTCTCTGTGTTTCCAGGAGTCCTACGTGTGGAAGATGTACCAGGAGCGATGCTGGGACTTCTTCCCTGCTGGAGACTGCTTCAGGAAGCAGTATGAGGACCAGCTGGGATAGACCCTGCTCCARCACGTCGGTGTCTTAGTTTTCTTATCTGTCTGAGCGTCTCTGCGTCTGTTGAAAGCTATGCACACCTCGACTGAACTTTTGTACCACCTGCAGCAGAATGTCGACGACACTTTCCAACAAAACAACAAAGAGACAAAGAAAATCCAACAAAGCCAGTCTTTTTATTCCACTATAAATACAGTAAATGGCCTTTCCTGTTCTTATTTAGTGTAAACGTTATAGTGCCTATAGCAACGTCACTGCTTCAGCTGTCAGAACGGTCAGACTTTAAGAATTAATCCCTTTGTTTACGTTTGAGGTTAACATGAATCCATCACAAAGTTCAGCACATGAAGGTGACGTCAGCGCTCAGAAATCCAGGAAAACGTCTCTTTTTATATTTGTTTCACTAATTAAGTCATTAACTTTGTTGGGTTTGTGTAAAAACAACAAAACTACATCCAAGTCGAGCTTTATTCTAAAGCACATTTCATGCATAAAGCAGCCCGATGTGTTTCTATTAACAAAACACACAAACAGTGCGAATGCACACACAGATTTCTCAAAGAGAAATAAAAAAAAACGTAAAAGTGTGTTAAAAGTTTATAAAGTTGAGAATCTAACTTTACAGCTGGACAGAGCAGTGTTGCTCCCRTCAGTTAAATGTTAATTTTTCACATTTTAATTGTGATAAAACCCTAATTCAGGACTTTTTCACAAAATGCAGCGACACAGTCTTCTTCTGTGGTTTCACTCTCGATCCCAGTCGCATCAAAAARATAAAAAAATCACCCGGCTGGGTTTGAAGATGTAAGTTTTCTGCCCGTTTCTTGTTTTCACGGTTTGTTTTTGCTGATCCAGCTGCTCAGAGTCTTACTGTAGCTCACAGAACGTGTCTTTCAGGAACTGAAACACTTTCTAGAGAAATACAAGATTATTTATACGTCATCACTCCGCGGCGTCCACGGTTGTGTCGTCTGTTTGTGATGAACACAAGAAACGAGGACGCCAGGGTTATTATCAGACCATGTTTCTTTTAATACGACTTTATGCACAAAATCTGTGCTTTAAAATAAACAAATGTGTTTATTTGGTCTGTATAACTGATAAATAACAAGGCTCTTTATCTGCCTTTTTGATGAAAAGACTTATTTTCCTTAATATTTACATAAATTTATTTTTCTTTAGAGCTTTATGATATTAAACTGCTCCTTTTCCAGACATGAGTTGTGTTTGTGAAGAAAACGAGTCTTACGCTGAGGAAACAGGAATGTTTTTGGTTTTTACAGTAGAACAGTTTTTAATTCAACACATCGTTTTTGTTTTGTTTTGTCAAAGTTGTGTGCGAAGCGTTGATCTGACTCATGAGGAGTTTGAGTTCACTCTGAAGTGTTTCTTTGGTTGTGCTCGCAGAAGTGATGGACGGTTTGAACGTTTCATAACTTTCCACCAGACTGAGAGTCTTCTGACTGAAGCCTGTGTTTCGATACAGAATAAACAGWTTATTTTAAGGAGAACTCCAACATGTCTGCTTATTTAAAGTGTTGGGATCGTCACGCCTCGGAAACATTTAAAACTGAAACTAGAGCAGGGAGTTCTGCAGTTTGGTGAAGATGCTGACCACTGGTCTGCACCAGGGTCTCCTCCCAGTGGGACCATGCCTGGAAAACATCCAAAAGGAGGCCTCCTGATGAGCACTGAAGGAGTTCAGCCTGCAGCATCAATGACCTCGACGTTTSAGTTTTACGTCTTTTAGCGTTTAGCTATTTTAAAGGGGGGGTGTTATGAAAAATCACCGTTTTTGAGCTTTATATCATGTAGTCAAAACAAGCCCAGAGTGTTGCTTTGGCTCATTCAAATCCTTTAATCTCCTGTGGTAGACACGAGGCGCTAACTAAGCACTTCCTGGTACAAAGCTCCGCCTATTTACACAAAGCTCCTCCCTGGAGCTCAGTCTGCAGCCGAGCTCCGCCCCTCCTCCAAAGCTTTGTTGTGAAGATGTGCTGAAGTGGGAGTGTCTGAAACGGTAGGAGGTTCTTAAAACACCAATTACTACATGTATGGTGTGAAAGTACTTTTATATGATCGTTTACATACATGTACACAGTATATAGAATAGTTAATTCACGAGTTGTTGAGCATAAATAAAGAATGAGTATGTTGGTTTTGGAAGTAATTAGACTTTAAAGGGACCCGCAATTAGTTGTAACATTAGACTTTATTTGATAAACAAATATTTTAACTGTAAAATAAAGACTGTAAGAATAC